TAAATAACTCTTAAAAAAATTAAAAAGCCTTTAAAAAAGAATATTAGTGGGTCAATTGGCTAAATTTGAATAAGATTATAAATTAAATCACAGCACTGTATCAATATTAAGTTTTTTATTTTGATAATTGCACTGTGGTATTTGTATTCCTCCTCTTGAGGAAACGGACTAAAATATTTAAGGATAAATAGATCAGAAAATAATCACAACTGTTCCTTTATATATCTGTCTCTCCACAGATATACAAAAAGAGCAGAAATGAGACCCTATGCATGCACAAGAAAGAGAATATTAAAGCAAATGTGGTTAGATATGGGTGAAAGATACAGGGGTGGGCAAAAGTAGGTGTTCATATGGAAAAAGACATGCAGGTTATGATTATTACAATATCTTTATTATTAATTCAAAAGAATGTCACAATAGTACAGTAAGCCTACCTTTGCCACCTCTGTATATGGGATTTTTTGGTAGTATTTTTTGCACGTTTTCTTTAAATCTGAAATTATTTCAAAATAAAAAGTCAAAAAATTCCTGCAAATGTACATTTTGCACCATTTCCTTCTAAATATTATATTTTAAAATACATATATATAAAAAGATAATTGGGATCACACAAATCTTTTTTTACTTAAAATTCTTTTTCTTTTTAAAAATTTTAAGTATTTTTAAATATATTTTATTTAAAATTGTTTTTTCTTAATTTGATATTGAATCATGAGCAGGTTTCAATGTCATTTAAAATTTTTTTAAAAGACAATTGTTAATGGATGCATAATGTTTCTTGTGAGAAGGTATTGTAATTAATTTAATTTATTTAAGGTTTTCCTTACATTTTTAGGTTGTAAGCCCACAGTGAAATATATAAGAAACATTTTGCATATATCTTTGTTCACATATTTCATTACTTCCTCATCTAAATTCCTAAAGTGGAAATTGTTTTGTTCTTTTTTAAATGATTCAAATGAACAAATACACTCCCAAACATCCCCAATTTCCTTTTTAAGTTTGTGCTGCTCTAATGACTTCTAGCTTGCTCCAGGACTTACATTTTTAGTAACAGACTGAGAATTGTGGGTTTGACTTTTGGCTATGGCTGGTGACTCCAGAGGGGTGTGGGAGACCATAGCTGGCAGCAGCAGGCTGGGGGTCAGTTCTAGACTGCAGGGCAATCATCTGTTGAAGAGGAGTCTTATTCTTCTGTGGGACCTGAAAGTTAACACGAAAGGTCTAAAAAAGTAACTAAGTGGGTGGGATGCCCTGGCCTGATGCACATCAGGCTAAGCCACAGTTTAGTTCGGTTTAACATTCCCTGAGGTGTATGTACTCTGTGCTGAGATTGGTTGTGGGAAAACAGATAAATCAAATACTGATAGGTGAGACATACAAGTAAACAGATGTTGACAGTACAATCATGAGTACTTTTAAATCGGGAAGTACAAGGATTATAGAGAGTATGGAAGAGGTTTTGTGCCTCCTTTTATACAACCTTTGATACAGTATGTGCTCTTAGACATGAATAATTCATTCATTTCTCCTTTCTCCCTCTCTTCCCTCTTTCCATTCAGTGCACCTGTAATTCGTTGAGCATATAGGATAGACCAAAAGGGGTGGCGGTAGAAATTCAATAAAAGCAATAAGTAGAATTTATCAGGCTTATTGACCAATTTTCCAGGACAGAGACACAAGAGTTAAGTATGACTCCTGTGCCATTTACCAAGCCAGGAAATGGATATCTTTTTGGCCTTTTTTATTTTTTAACAGTTTTAATTGACAAAAGACCTGAATTTTAGAGAACAAATGTTAAAGAGCAAAGAAAATTTTGTTTGGGGTGCTACAACTTAAATTCGCTTGAAAAAACCATTCTTTTTTCCCCCATTTTTACAAATTTTTTTAAAAGATTTTATTTATTTTTAGAGAGGGAAGGGAGGGAGGGAGAGGGAGAGAGAGGGAGAGGGAGAGGGAGAGAGAGAGAGAGAGAGAGAGAGAAACATCAATGTGCAGTTGCTGGGGGTTATGGCCTGCAACCCAGGAATGTACCCTGGCTGGGAATTGAACCTGGGACACTTGGGTTCCCAGCCTGTGCTCAATCCACTGAGCTACGCCAGTCAGGGCTATTATTACAAATTTTATTGTTGTTGAAGAAACCATTCTTAGAATACTAGCTTTCTATAGGATGAATGTATATGGTATAAAAATGAAAGTGGGGAGGTCTTCCAGCTTGGGAATATTGATATTTTAGAGTTGCTGGATTCCATCCAGTGGAAATCAATGTGAAACTCAAGAGTAGGATAACCAAATCAACTGACAGTCGTATGTCAAGGTAGGTTAAAATGAAAAAGAGATTTGCATTGGAGGAGGAAAACAGATGAGAGACATTTCAGGAGCAGAGAGCAAACTGGGTCAATACAATGGAATGATCAGTGAGGAGGTACTGATGACATAGGCAGCCTCTTTCAGAAACATAACCTGAATAGAAGGGGAGAAAGTGTGAAACAAGAAGAAACTGGTCCTGGGAGCAAATGAATCACCTTCATGTCTTAGCTACACCCTGCGTAGCATGATTATTTCTATAAAAATGCAGATTTCCTGGTGTTAGTGAACTAGGCTTGGAAAGCACAGTGGTAACATTAGGTTATCAAACTAATCAAAGTTAAAGGGCCTGTTACTCTAGATTGAACATTTTTAGTGACAGTAATTTACTCTTACAGCATTTTCTAAACATTGCAGAAAGGACTGTTAGGGCATCAGATGGGGGACCAAAGGAATCTCAGGGTTTATTTTCAGCTTTTCCTTAGGTTGGATGCATTTCACATGGTATAGTACTTAATTCTTAGAGTTGTTGTGAGGCTGAATTATAGTTTCTCTCCAAGCACCAGTTTCTCTGGGTATAAAAAGGGGATAGTGATTTTTTTTTTGTAATGTGACTCAGAATATAGGTGGGGCAGGCACACTTAGGATTGTACAGGGAGAGCTTTCATTGATTGGAAGGTTATAGTATCTCTAAGATGGCTTCTCAATAATTATTTGAAAGTTCCCGGTGACTTTATGTACTTTTCTCATTAAGATTTGTTATTATTGCTTTGACTGGTAAAGCTCAGTGGGTTAAGTGTTGTCCTATAAAATGAAAGGTTGCCGGTTCGATTCCTAGTGGTGGTATATGCCTGAGTTGGGGTGAGTGAGGGACAACAGATCAATGTTTATCTCACACATTGATGTTTCTCTCCCTCCTTTCTCCTCTCTCTAAATATAAATAAAATATTTTAAAAAGATTTATTATTATTGGGACATAATAAGGTGAGGCTGCCTTATAAATTTTTTTTAAAAAGAAAAATATACTGGTTCTATACTGACATCTGCTGTGTATATGGCAGACTGTCACAGGACCCAGTGTATTAAATTCTATTCCTCTTTAATGGATGGATGCTATATTACTCCATAACTGAAATTTAGGAAAATTTTAGCCAGATCAAGGATGATGAAGACTAATAATGTACTCATCTTTTGATAGGAATACATTTACACACACACACACACACACACACACACACACACACAGATTGAAAGAGAAAGAACAAAAGCAGGTGGGAACAATCTTGATTTTAAGAAAGACTGGGAGGGTGTTTTGGAACCAAGAAGAATTGGAACTAATATTTGAGTACCTTCCATCAGCCAGTTCCTAGCTTATGTAAATTAGCTCCAGTCTTCACAACAACTAGCAAGGCAGGCATTAGAAAACTGAGGCTCACAAATATTTCACGTGCCTAGGGTCACAAGGCTAAACACGACTGAGCTGGAATGGGTAGTATCAGACTATGTATGCCACCAAAATTCCTGCTCATTTTACCATACTACTTTATGATAAAATAATGTATTTGAAAATTTTGGGACAAGAGGATTTGGCGATTTCTTTTCCCTACTTCCCTTTGACAGCCTTTGTTTCTTTTGTTTCTGGTTCTGATGTTTGCACCTAGAGTTTGAGTGGGATCGAACACGGGGTATCTGTAAACAGAATGATTCTACAGCCCCACTATATAACAATTTCCTTCCTTCAGAGCCTTACCTGGGATTTGGCAGGGGTGGGGGCGTGGAAGAGTAGAGGTCGGGGTTCGGGGAGGGGTTGGGTTTAGTTAGGAAACATGGATAGTTGTTTTCTTACCTTTAAGTCGTTTATGAATTTCAGGAAACCGGTTGACTATTCTCTTGTCTTGCTCGAAATATTTTTTTTCTATTTTGTGGGAGGCTTTAGGGGTTAAGGTTTGGTATCTGTAGGAAATTTCTGTAACGATCTGCATGGTAGATCCCCCAAAAGTTAAGGTCAAATGCAATTTCTTCATCTGTTTTGAGTGAGGATTGTGTGTGTGTAAAAAGGTTGGCGCTGGGTCACTCTTCTTATACCCCAGACACACAGAAGGAATTAGAAGCAATCCCCGCCCCCCGCCCCCCCCCCTCGAATCACGAGAGAGAAAAACGAGAAGATGCCCTCACACTCCTACTTGCAGGTGAGGGTCCGAGGAACAGGAACATCGTTGTACTTCCTGAAGTGAGATGCAAAGGTGCTCGGGGTCTAAGGACTAGGGGTAGGTGGCGGGGGCAGTCAACGTCCGTGAGGGCCTAGGGGTTTCCGTCTCCAGGGAGCCGTCTTCTGGGGTGGACTGTAGGCAGTGGGCCGTGCAGGGGGCGCACCGCCCCCGCCTTCCTCACACCGCGCTCGCCGGCGTTCCCTGCGGCTCGTGCCTGGGCGGCCGCCGCAGTCCTCGCGTCGTAGCCCGGCGTGAGGTCCAGGGGGCGCTGTGGCCCAGCGGCGCCGGCGGCAGGAGCGGCCAAGGCGACGGTGGAGGCTTCGCGGAGGATCCCCTCCCGCGGCACCTCGGTTGTCCCACCGCAGCCGTGCGCGCCCGGCCCGGCCCGGCTCGGCGGAGCTCCTCCGGGATCCGCTTCGCTGCGGCGGCCCAGGAGCTCGATGCGGCTCGGAGGGTGCTGGGCCTCAGCAGCAGCGGCAACCACAGCCCCTTCAGGAGTGGGAGGCTTCGCGGCGGCGCCTAGGGCTTCGCCGGTGCCCTCCGGAGGAGGCTGGCAGCTCAGGGACGACCCTCCCGGGCCATGCTGAGGCAACGGCGGCTGCCGCTCGAGGTGAGTGTGACGCGGCGCGGCCCCGTGCTTGCTGGCCTTCGGCCTCTGGGGAGGGCCCGGGCGGTAGCCCTCTAGCCGGACGGACGGGGAGTCCAGCCGCTGCGGCAGCCTCCCCCACCCCGCGGCTCTGGGGCCTCAGCCCTTCTCCCCGTGTCTCCCGGGAGGCTTGGAGGCTCGTGGGGGGCGACTAGGCCCCGCGCCGCGGAGAAGCCCTTGCCCCGGCCTCGGTTCCGGCGCCGCCCGGGGTGTGGAGCCAGGGGGCTGGCGGGGCCACTGGCGTCCTTCGGATTGGCCCCGGGCGGAGCGCAGCTTCTTATCCCCGGCCCTGCACGTTCATCCCGGAGGGATGCAGAGGACGCCTGTTTGCAAACAGCCTTGGCTTTTCCGCGCCCCACACCGAGTCCCGGAGTCCCTGGGGGCAGGGCGATAGGGCAGGGTGGGAATTGGAGTGCTGAAAGTGATGGGCCGCGAAAGCCCCTGGTACCCTCGGAGTGCCGTTCACGGATCTGCGGGGTTGAAAAGAGCCTTTTGCGTCTTATTTGAGGTGAAATTTCATCACCTGCCGGTAGCTCAGTCCTGCCTTCTTCTATTACATTTTGCCTCGAAGCGTGGTCTGCCTTTGGAGAAAACTCCATCCCAGCTTTGCTATGTTTCTAGATGAATGCTCACAATTATTCATATATATATATATATATATATATATATATATATATATATATATATTTTACAAAGGTCTGTTCCCTCTTCTTCCCCAATAAGTGTATTTTAATGCCTCAGTTCTCGGTACAAAAATGTTCTGTCTAATTAGATCCATAGAATTGATGACGAGAGGATTTTAAAAGTCGTGCTAACTATCATAATAACAGATACCTGATGGGAATGGGACATAGTATAAATTTTAGAAATGAAGAGGTTTGTTCTGATATAAATGTAATAGAAAAGTTGGTGATTAGTGATTAACCTTATATACCTAAGTCAGGCTTATAGGTATTTTTGGTTTATGATAAATGAGATTACAAGTTATTTTTGTTTTCCTGTTATGTAAGTTAAGGTTGTAGGATTGATAAGTACTTTTAAACTTTTGTAAACAATATACTTATTGTAGAAGCCTTGGAAAGTACAGAATCTCCATAAATATTTAATAATGGGGGAGATGTCACCTATAATCTCAAGGTACATTTTTATGGTCATTTAAAGTTTAAAATGGGCTTATACTGTTGGTGATTTTTAAACTATTAATTCTACATATTAGGTTCAAAGTTAACTGACTATCCATTTTACTGTTTAACATTCAGTCATTTTAAGACCTATAAAATGTTTTACTAAATTACATTGCAATCATAGTTGAATACATCATTTAAAACAGAATAACATGGGTAACTACCTACCTAAAAGACCCCTGACTTAACCACCTGTGCATCATGAGAAGCTCCGGAGATCTAGGGAGATTTGGTGTAGTAAATGCTTTTGAGGACCTATCCTGTTAGATGCAGTAGCCTTGTATTGTTTTTGTAAGATTTTTCTTAAATATTTATGATTATAAAAAATGGCTTGATTAAAATTTTTTTGGTAGATTAATTTAGGTTTTAAAAAGTCCAATCCAATTTTTCTCAGTGTGTCCCTAAAGACTACCAACATTAAAATCAGTTCAGGGTGCTTATTAAAATACTCAGATCCTGGCCCCCTGAGTCAGAATTTCTAGGCATGATGGTGGCCCAAGGATCTTCATTCTTATCTAGCTCCCCTCTTCTTAGTCCTACCAAACTTTGAGAATCACTGATAATAAGTTTAAAGTTAACTAATCTTGGCAAGCTGAGTTGAAGGTACAGTATGTTTTCTAGCAAAGCCTTCAATCATTCTTAAGTGGCAATATATCATTTGTCATAGGAACAGATAATGGTGTTTTAATCTTAGAAAACTGGTATTTCGAAGGACAGCTGATTCAATCAACAAACATTTGAGAGCCTTTAGTGGTAGTTGTGTTGTAAAAGGATACCTGGCTACTTACCTTGGTACTTAATCTCCTTGGACCTCAATGTCATTATCTGTAAAATGCAGAGTTATACTTGCAAAACCCTCAAGATAGATATATCTGAAAAATTTTGTAACCTATTAAAGATAGTTATAAAATTTTAGCTATTAATTTTAAGTGCCAGGTGCTTTCTTTGGTGTCCTGGGAAACAATAATGACCAAGGTTTCTGCTAGCAACTAGCTAATTGTGGAAGCAGGACATACTTAGTTAACTGTAAAAAGGCAGGGTCAGACACTTTTTGTCGTTGAGTGGAACATGCTAGATCTCTCTTTAAGGCTTCTTATGTTTAATTCAGTAGCTTGCCTTTAAGAATATCAATAATTTTTAAAAAGATTTTATTTATGTATTTTTAGAGAAGGAAAGGGAAGAAGAGAGGGAGAGAAACAGTAATGTGTGGTTGCCTCTCAAGCGTCCACTACTGGGGACCTGGCCCACAACCCAGGCATGTGCCCTGACTGGGAATGGAACCCTTGACCCCCTGGTTTGCCCTCAATCCACTGAGCCACACCAGCCAGTGCAGTAATTTTTATGTGTGATCTTTCATTCCTATTCCAGTTCCCAATTCAGTGTTTTTTTTTTCTTTAAGGAGGTAATTGTATACGTTGCCTGGTAAGTGATAGTTTTATATTAACGCCTTTAGAAAGAATGAGTGAAGATGATCCCATTTCTTCCTCTGTTGCTAAGTTACCACTGTTCATTTCATTCAGTAAACTTTTATTTGGTACCTATAAAGTGCTCGACAGAGATTAGTTGCAAAGGCACAAAGCTTTTTAAAAAATATATACAGTAATTGCTTGGATTTCAACTTAGATTCTTATGTTCCTAGAAGGATGATATGTGTGTGTGTGTGTGTGTGTGTGTGTGTGTGTGTGTTATGTTTTATGGTTAATTACATGATGTGATGCAGAGTATGGAATCAGATATGGGCAGTAATTCTTACTACAGCTCTTAGAGCAATGTGATGTTTAGAGTTTGAGTTTTCTTAAGTATTGCTGGAGTAATAGCACCTCCCACTGGGAACAGGTTCCATGAAATAAAAGTAAGCAAAAGCAATTAGCTTAGTGTCACATAGAAGGTTCTCAATAACTATTCATTTTCATTCCTCCTTTTGGAAAAACAAAAGCCAGGCATTGAAATTTGTGTGACTTAAAACTTGGTAGCTTTCATTTTTTTAGAGAATGAGTCTCCTTTTGGAATTATTTAAAATTTTTGATAGGAAACAATTTTGATCTTAACTTACTACACATATTTTCCATTTCTTTTTTAGCTAAAAATTAGCTATTCCCTGTGTATAGGGTATACTTATTACAAATTATTCATTTTCCGAGTTTTACATGATCTTTACTTTTGCTTGTGTGTGTCTCACCTGCCATAGAGCCACATTTTAGTATAATCAAGGAAAGCTGTAGTTACTGAATAGAAATAGTTCATGTATTTAGTTTTCAAAAAATGATATCAGTTACTAAACTTACATTATTTAAGAACTGAAGAATCTGTAAAACAGACTTTTCCGACTAGACCAGTGTGGCTCAGTTAGTTGGGTGTTGTCCTGCAAAGTGGAAGGTCCCTGATTCGATTCTCAGTCAGGGCACATGCCTGGGTTGTGGGTTCAGTCCCTGGATAGGGGCACATACAAGAGACAACTGATCTATGTTTCTCTCCCTCTTTTTCTCCCTCCCTTGTTCTCTCTCTAAAAATAAATAAATAAAATCTTAAAAAACAAACAGACTTTTCCTTACAAACTGCTATGGATTACAGCTATATTTTACAACCTGTCAGATGGGTTTCAGTCTTTTCTGATAATCTATATAACCCTGGACAAGTTTTTTGCCCCCTTTAAGCCTCAATTTTCTCTTCTACAAAACGTAGCTGATAATACCCACATTATAGGATTATTGTAAGGAATGAATGATACAATGTGTAAATCAGAGCTATAAATCAGTCCCAGCAGTCCCAGTAAGTCCTTGTTACTCTGAAAGTGGAAAATAATACCTCTTGTTTACTTCTATTTGAAAGCACTTGAAAGATCATTAATTATTTATACAGTTTACCACTAGGGAATAAAATCAATATGAACAATTTTAAAGTATTAGAGATTTCTAAATTAAGGAGGAACCAAAGTGTCAGTAGTTAGTATTTTAATTGTGTAGTTAGTAGAAGACTTTACACTTTATAATATTCAATACATTTTTAAAATAAAATAATTGAAACTGTTATTTACAAAATATTTTCTATAGTACAAATTAAATAGTACTTAACATTTTTTCTTTTGAATTATTGTAAATAGCCCTTTTATAGAACTGAACTATTGGGAAAATTAGAACAGTATATAATGTTTTGTACTTATGAAGTACTTTTTGAGAGCTTTAATAAAATAAGGTAAAGATGAGGAAATCTCTATGGACACATTGAAATTAAGAAAAGACATTGAATTCATACTGGGCAAGTGAAAAGGAGACCTTAGTAAGTGTTAATGGGGATCTTATGGCATTAAGGATTTTATATTACAAAACTTTATTTTTTATTATTATATTTTTAATCATTGCCCAAGGATATATTTGTTGATTTTAGAGGGGAAGGGAGGGAGGAAGGGGAAGAGAAAGAGACAGAGCGAGAGAGAGAGAGATACTGATGTGAGAGAGAAGCATGAATTGATTGCCTCCTGTAGGCGCCTGGACCAGGGATTGTTCGTGCCCAGAATAGGGATGGAACCCACAACCTAGGTATGAACCCTAACTGGAAATTGAACCTACAACCTTTTGGTTATGGGATGATGCTCCAACCAACTTAGCCATACTGGCCAGGGCTGGGTTGTTTTTTGTTTGTGTGTTTGTTTTTGGTCAGCAAATATATATATAGGTCTTTCTTTTAACTCACTAGTAAACAAAAATGCAAATTAAAAGAACAGTGGAAAACCATTTGATCTACCTCAGCAGTGATTTTTTTATTGTTGATATGGATGACCCC